CGGCATTGGCAATGGACGTTCGGCCCGGTTTTGGCTAGATCATTGGGTAGGAAATCGGCCTCTATGGCAAGACTTCCAGGACCTGTACAGCTTGGCGGTCAACCCGGAGCAGCATGTTGCGTCGGCACTTGCCTCTGCCCCCCTTCCCGCGATCTCCTTTAAACGGGAGCTAACGAGTACCGAACAAGCTCACTTCACGGCCTTGCTTGAGCAAACCGCGCCGGTCGCGCTCTCCGCGCACGAGGACACAGTAACTTGGTCTCTCACCCCATCCGGCAAGTTTTCCGTCAAATCGTTATACCGGAAACTATGTCAGGGCCAGTCCGCTCGAGCGCCCAAGGGCCTATGGACTGCGCGAATACCGCTTAAAATCAAGGTATTCTTCTGGCAAATGTTTCGCAACAGATTGCCTACCTCGGCCAATGTTGCCAAACGCAATGGCCCGTATTCCGGCCACTGTGCTTTGTGCAACGCCCCGGAAGACGCGAATCATGTGTTCTTTCGTTGCCCGTTAGCGCGTTTCGCATGGGCTGCGTTTCGCACCGCGGCCAACACCACATGGAACCCGAGCTCGACTGCCGACCTCGTGGCCATTGTAGACTCGGTCCATGGTGGCAACAAGCGTGTTCTTTGGAACTGTGTGGGGGCGCTGGCCTGGGCCCTCTGGCTCACTAGGAACAAGCTAGCGATCGAAGGACTTTTCCCTTCTCACCATGCTAATGTCATCTACAAATGCAACATCTTTCTGCAGCAGTGGAATCCGTTGGCGAGGCGCAAGGATGCTGATAAACTCCAACATGCACCAGAACGTCTTCACCAAGTTTACCTGATGACTAGGGAGCCACCCGCCTCTTCTCCGACGTGAAGTGGCCCTTTTGGACGGCGCTCGAGCGAGCCTGCGTGCTCTATACTTAGGCTGCGAGCCATGTAATCTTCTTCATTTGTTCAGTGCTGCTTTTGGCCTGCCCGTTAACTTTACAGACTTTGCGCTGCCTCTTGGCCGGAGCCTCCGTGCTCGTGTTTGTAATCCCAGACCATGTCAGTTATGCTGCCTAGATGTGGGCTTTATTAATTTAAAGCCGGACGCGCCCAGCGTCTTTGTTCTAAAAAAAAAGCTATGCGAATTAGTGCTGTCGTAGGATTCTTTTGCTACGCCAACACTGGCCGCGCTTGGATTGGCGTTTCCCAGTGATTTACAGATGTAAAATATACCCTTGTAATAGAATACGGGCGGCCCACTTGGATGATCGTTTTTGCGTTGTAAACTTTACACGTGGTTACAAATTACACTTGTATTGCCTTAGTATCCCGCAGGTTTCCAAAACACCTCTCGGTCGGTCGTTTTCCCTCGTTTCCCCTGTATTTCTCGCTCGATCTCGATCTCGGAGGACCGGAGCCACAGGGGAAGGGCCGAGGACCACGAGCCTGGACCTGGTGGGGCATCTAGCTGCCTCGCGCTGGTCTCCGGTGTTGGCGCCGCCGCACAGCTTGACCTCTCGCCGGCCGGCGAGTTGAGGCGAGGACGAGCAGGCGGCTTGCGGACACCGTCAAGACCAGCAAAAGGCCGACGAGGGCGGCTTGGTCGCCGCCGGGAAGGGCTTCTGAAGGGTGGCCGCTAGCATTCGGCAATGGGGCGGCCGGGAAGGTCAGCTTCGTCCTCGGCAGAGGGCGCCATTGGAGACGGGTGCTCAGACGAGGAGTAGTAGATGGTGGTGGTGGAGGGAGGAGGAGGAGGAGGAGAAGATGGTGGCGGGGGAGGGCAACGGCGCCGCCGGCTGCTCCTGATCCATCTGTCTTCTTCCAGCAGTCAGCGGAGAAAATGGGTAGATGCAGGATTACAGGAACATCAAAACTGTGCGGCACAGGATTACGGAGGGAAGAACTACTCGGTTGTATATTACTGGGCACAAGTAAAATCCGGTTGTAATTTATATCCGGTTGTAACATTCTACAGGGCTTCCAAGCGGGGCCTAAGTTAGGCCCTGTCGGAACGTTGGGACCCATGCTACAAGTGATGTCATGTAAAATTCCTACGCCAGCAATAAAAGCTCATAGCACTGATGTATGAATTATGCCGACGCCAACACTATTTGAAAAAAATAGTGTCGACGATGCTGGAAAATGGCGTGCCAGCAAATGAAAGTTATGTCTAGCCATTTTCTCCTAGTGGCTATTGCTATCAAGTTAGTTGCAGCGCGGTTCCTAACAGTACCACTGTCACCCTACCCCGTGCTACCATTAAGCATCTACCTATAAAGTTTTTCTTAGTAATTTCGCAGACTACAATACTGGTACGACATGACATCTAAGAGGTTTTATTTTTCCATTTCCAAGCTTATTTGTGGATTACCACTTTATAGAGACCTGATTTAATTGACCAAACCAAAGTTTGAATAATTTTCCTAATTAAGCAGTCATTTTATTCTCTGCATGCCTGTCTGAACATCAAGAGTTGTACAGTTTAATGTCACCAAAACACTTGCCATTGAAGCAAACTATTCTCAGTAAGTTCAACTCAGCTAAGAGTCCCACCAATACAAATATGCTCCCCAAAACTCAAACTCGGAATTAGTTGTAGACTTGTGGGTGCGGCGAAAGAGCGGACGAGCTCGCCTGCTCCCGCTACATGTACCAATGGGACACCGACTCGTCGCTACGTTCATTGAATGCGGTCGTAGCGAGCAAGGAACGATAGCCATCGTGCAACAGTAGTATACGGTGACGGCACCGTGTAATATGACGACAGGATGGCGGTACAGCATGCATGTGTCCATGACATGCATTGCAATAGCGATTCAACGCGTCCATGCCTTCCTTGATGTACAGTCGATTCATTTGTAAAGTATGATGGCGATTGCAAAAGAGGAGGTGGGGCTACAAAACAAACAGAAAATTTTGAAAGATATGGAAAATTTGGAGGGAAATAACAGAAAAAAAACTCTGCAAGTACAATTCGTAGAAAAGGCAAACGAATAAAATCAATGTGCAAATTATATACGTATAATGTAAAAAACAGAAAATTTCGCCAGTGGTATTGTGGGCTTTTTGCAAGTTGTATATGACATGATTTTTCTTTTGCCCTAAATATGAGGAGTGGCGCGTAATTTTTTCAAAGTCTGCCCTGGAGGATCTTGGTCCATTAAAAAGGAGAGAGTTGTGGAGCGAAAATTGTGACAAAAAACAGGGCACACTCGGCCGACCTGGCAACCCACAAAAGAACGCACACACGTTGTCGAGAGAAAAACGTCGTAGAGGTTGCCATCGCCATCACTCCTTCGCGACCTAACGTAGCCCTCACCCAGACGAGCGCCGAGGCATGTGGCGGCCGATGCCAAAAAGTCAGCCCGGCCCACCGCCGACCCCATATACTCACATCCATTTTCGGAGGGCGTCCACGGGCACCGTTAGGTGCTCGTGCCCTCGTCGATGCCGGGCCGGTCGAGGATACCCGAGTCGGAGGCGCGGACCACATTACGTGAGCGGCAACGCGCAAGGGAGAGGCTGGTGGCGGGTGACACGTTGGCGAGGGGCCGGGCAATTGCGCGCATGTCAGTCGATCCGAGGACGTGCTCATTGTATCTGTCCTCCGCCACTCATTGGTATCGGCGGAGTCAGATGCGCGACGGCTCCGGCGGAAGAACGCCAAAGCGCTTCGGCTCGCCATCGAGTTGTGGGAGTGCGAGGCGGCGACGAAGGCGAGGAGGCACGCTGAGTAGCAGGAGCGCTTGCTCCGCATGCTAGCCCGGGTGCACATGGACCTATCGGACGACGACGAAGACGGATCAAGCTCTGACGACAATGATGACCCTTCGGCGGCCGATGCGTACACCGACGGCCAGAGTAGCACCGCCAAACGGAAGGGCCAAGGGCCAGCGAGGAAGTGATGCGTCTCCATCTTTAATTTCAAGTTTCATGTAATCTAGTTTAAAATTGGCCACCGTCTATGTGAATATATATGTGAACTTAATTTGGCAATTTTTTGGAGATCCATTGGTGATCTTTTGGTAATCGAAATGTGCATATCTATGTCTTTTTGAGGATTGACGTGCTTTTATTTCACGTTGCATGCTTTTAGCATGGGTACATACTACCGAATATGAGATACAAGGGCGTGGGTTACAAGAATTGAGGAATGTCTGATCAGTGCCTGTGGACGCGTTCATGGCATTTGAGAAGCCAGATTTGATGACCGCTCATGTAGATGCTCATAATTCATCAAACATTAAAATTGGTCATTTCGTCATGTCTCATGTTCATAGTTTATTTAAAAGTTGAACTCATTCTAGCTGCCGCCTCCACAACCGCGATGCAAAAAACAAATTTGATTCGCGTCTGGCCAGGCATATATGGATTTTGTAGAAATCAACGCTTTGTATTTGATTTCTGGTCAGAAAAAGCAAAGAGGTTTGGGAAAAACATTACTCGAATGCATTGGTTTTTATGCATACCATACGTCCGATCTAGCAAATCATTTGGAAGATCCCGCACTTGTGTGTGCGATGCTAATAAAAAGTACTGTGCATGCTTTTGTTCCGCAGATCTAAATGTGGTCAGAACTAACGATCAGATCACAGAACCAAGACGGCGTCACTAGCTCTGTGACGGCTGTCGGTACGCACCGTCTCTTCCGTGCACAGTACGCATTAAATAAACCACCGTACGCGCACTGGAAAACTGCATGCGTCCAACATCCCGAAGTGAAGCAACGTCTCACGATTCAGTGAGTAGGCGAGCCCGTCCACGCCCATTAGTTGTAGACTTGTAGTGCTGGCTTCTTTTGCGTATAGTATAGCAAGCGTGCTAGTGGAAGCCTACCTAGGTAGATTTAGGTTCAGATTTCGTGTGAGCTATTCAACTTATAATCCACGTGAATCATTTCCAGTAGCCTATCTAAAGTAAAATAAAATCGTGCACTATGTTCTCTTTTTCTTCTTTTGGGGCACTAGAGCAACAGACGTCCTGCTTAATTAATCTCCTTGGCTCCTTGCTCGGGCTTCTCATCACACCCTCTGAACAATCCGTGAACTATGATTCTCTGTTTCTTCGTCCCAACCGGGCTTGGAATGTGATGGAGGAGGGAGTTTGGATTCGATGCTCGCCTCGTTGCTCTTTCCCCACAGGACCAAGTAGAGCCCCACGACCACGACCGCCGATCCGACCACGCTCCCGAGGTGGAGCTGCTCGTGGAGGACGGCGACGTCGATCCCGGCGGTGACGATCTGGATCAGGGGCATGAAGGCCGTGGTGAACACCGGCCCTCGCCGCTCCACACACCATGACATGGCCAGGAACCCCAGCCCGGACGACCCCACGCCAGCAAACACCACGGTCACGGCCTGGAGCGCCGTGCGGGGGACCCAGACCAGCAAGCTCATCTTCTCAGTGGCAGCCCCAACCGCGGCCATCTGGAAGAAGCTGAGCAGGAACATCCACGCCGTGCCAGAGTAGAGCGCCGGGTACTTTGTCCCGATCTTGGACTGCAGGATGAACCACAGCGACCAGCTCGCCGAGAAGCCCAGCAACGCCACCGAGCCCACTGCCCACCTCCGCGCACCGCCGTGGGTGGCACCGGCGGCTAGGTGGTCCCCCGACGGCGCCCCCACCAGGGTCGGCCCATGGTAGAGTGCCAGCACCGTCGCTCCGGCCAGCCCCACGGCCGTGCCGGTGAGCTTGGCTGCACCGGAGCGGCTGGCGACATCGATCTTCTCGACCTTGAAGGCCAGTGCGAGGAGGAAGGTGAACATGGGAGTCGTGTTGTTGAAGGCGCTCGCGAACGTGGCCGTAGTGTACCGCAGGCCCAGGAAAAAGAGCCACTGGATCAGAGAGGCTCTGCAATTGCCATGTACTATATCAAATTGCAAATAATTTATGACTGGCCAACAGTTGTTATTTACAGTATAGTACAATGCATGCAAAGGAAATTAGGGTTAAAAATTAACTACTCAAGACTTCGTATAATTATGCAAAAGAGATTAATTACCCGAGCAAGGCACTGAAGAAGAGGTAGACGAATATCTCCATGGACAGCTTAGGTCTACTCTTCCTACATACATACATACATGGAAACCATATACAGAAATTAGTTAACTTTAGAACAGAAATCAATGGCCACGATTTTTCATTTTAAAACGGTCAAAATAAAATCTTTTGTTACCCATGCTTCTTCATCAGTGATATGCATATGGCCCAAGCAATCGAGATACAATTAAACTTGTAAGGACATCAGTTAGTGCTGATACAAACCTCTCTTTGAAGTATGCGATCGGGGAGAGGAAGAGCGCGGCGACGAGCAGGCGGAGGACAATGAAGACAGTGGTGTGCATCCCTTCATTGAAAGCCATCTTCGTCAGCACATTCAACACCGCATACATGATCACCACCGCCATCATCATCACCGTAGGTTTCCAGTCCATCCTGCACTCTTGATCAGCACAGTCAAGTGAACTAGCAAAAACTATATGGCGAGGGAGGCTTTGCCTTCCTTTTCGAAAAAAGCTTTATGGTGAGTGTGATATTAATTAACTCAGGAATGCTTGTGGTGGAGCTATTTATAGCCTCCACTAACACATTAGTTAAATCAGCACTACAACACTATTTGCTTTAAGTTGTGTGCACTGACGGAAGATGCCATTAATGAAGTTGGGCCATCCATGACTGGCGTAGTGGCGTAGTGGCATTTGTTGTCTAGACCAACCATCTGAAAGAGAAAATATACGGTGCAAACCAAGTTACTGTAAAAATCACATTTGGAAGTTCTAAAAAAGACATCCTATAATGAACAGGTTAAATCTGAAGTTCAAGTTCATTCATTTGTGAGGTGAAAAAAAATCCTATGTTGAATTGGTTTTTTCACACACCTGTAGTGAATTTGATTTTGGTTTAAAAATTTACATCCTTTATAGAACATTGCCTTGCCAACATACTTGATTTTATTTAGAAATTTTAGAATTATTAAAATACTTGGTTTCCACACGATATTTTCTCTCAAAAGTAATGGAGACATTATCATCTCCTAAAAGTTAATCGAAGCATTTGTGCATCTAGCTAGCTTTATTCGAGAACCGACGAGTAAAGTACACTAAGCCTAGATGTTTAATCATGATTATCTGTCAAAGCAAATATTCAGAAGTTCTTTTTTTTTTGCGGGAGCAAATCATTTAGATTTATATGCGCTATTAGTTTGGTAGTTCCAAGCAAAAGAAGTACCCACACCTAGGACTGGGCGTTCGGTTAGACCGAACCGATCGGTTCGGTGCTTCGGTTTGTGTTGAAATTCGGTTTTCTAAATTTTCTAACCGTTCGGTCATGTGAAAAATCAATGACCGAGGTTTCGGTGCACCGATAGTTCGGTTCGGTCCTCGGTTATAACCGAAGACCACTGAAATATTGGGAGTCAACGAAACAAGAAATCAAGATCCAATTCCCTCGTAACAAGAAAGAAATCGGGAGTCAAAGAAACAATGAACAACCGAACGTGGGATCCTCCAGTTACTGCCGCCGGCGTGAAGGAGTGATGGTCGCTGGCTTGCTGCCGCATGGGAGGCATGTACGTCATCGGCCGCCGCCGCTTGGGAACCAGCTTCCGCCTTGGCCCCTCTGCTGCCGACGCGTGGGAGCCGGCTGCGGCTTCCGACCCTCGGCCGCCGCCGCGTGGGAGCCAGATGCGTCTTCGGCCGCCGCGGCTTGGGAGCCAGATGCATCTTCGGTCGGCGCCGCGTGCAATCATGGGCCTTGCCGCCGCCGCCGCCGAGTGCGAGCCATGGGCCGAATCGATGGGATTGAGCGAGGCGAGCAAATGGGGGCGGCGGCGCTGCCGCTGCGTGATATGCGTGCGTGAAGTTTATTTTTCTAGAGATTCCGGTGGGGATAAGTTGCGGGGCTGTGTCTGTTTGCGTTGAGAAAAAGGGTGGAAAAGCTTCGTATGGATGGGTTACTGGGCTTCGTTTTTTTTGACTATATACTGGGCTTCGTTTTGATGGGCTTTATACAATATTCTGTCAATTCGGGGAATTCGGTCAACCTGGTCCAGTGACCGAACTAACCGAAGTATGTTCGGTTTTTGAGTTTTGCCAACCGAACAAACAACCACAGTTTCGGTCCTCGGTTTTTTCGGCTGTGGTCCCGGGTTTTTCGGCTCTGGTCTTCGGTTCTCGGTTTTTTTGCCCACCCCTACCCACACCCTCGGTTTCAAAATAAGCTGTCCTTTATTTTCTTAAAACTAGACTTTGAACAACACGTACATTATTAATATTCTTACCATGGTATAAAATTGATGTCATTAGATTCTTCCTAAGTAGTGACCCATGCTTGTGTTTTTGTAAAAAGCAAACCAGATTTTATTTGTAGAATGTTTTGTCAAAGGCTTCTCTCAATGAATCAAATTATATCCTAAGTTTTGGAGTGAACGAGTAGTGAACTCCACCAACGATGATGTATTTCACAAAGAGAAACGCTTGTTTTGAGGCATGACCTATGTATTAGGGTTTTATGATTTAGGGTTATCTGCCATGTGTCTGCTGCTCCACTGATGAGATTATCGAGCACCTCTTGTTAAGTTTTGCGCATGGCCAGGCGATTTGGATCATTCCTAGTGGGACGCCTAATTAAGACAATTGTTGATAAATTTTGTCAAATTTAGAAAAGTTTGACTTAGTTGGACGAATCAAAATGAGCCTTGTAAACCCATACAGAGAGAGTACTAGCACAATCATTAGTAGTTCAATCTTTTTATTAAACCACAACCTATCTGCACTATAATCTCCCACCTGATTTCCCTTTTAAATTGTGCTCAAGCATGGCCAATAGCACCAATGATGTTAGTGCTTGCAATAATTCTTCACATCAACCACAGTTGCACGATGTAGTAGCACGATGAAAATAAAATATTACGCTGTAGGCAGCAGTCAAATGCTACAACTGCCCCAACAATATAGATTGAATAGCCTTTATATTTTTTTTAAGAACTGAATAGCCTTGATATCGCACACAAACTTGTTCATAGTCTACCCACTAAAACATACGAGTTGGTCACAAAAGAGCGCAAAACATCACATAAGTACTGTAAGTGTTGTTACTCCGAGTTGGTCACAAAAGAGGGCAAAACGTCACAAATGAGAAGATTGGATTACTGCACACTACTTATTTAGCCTATAAGAGGAAAATCTTCATTGTGGTATAACTGAATCAGAAAGCACAAGCTTTAAAATGTACTCCCTCCATTCCTAAATATAAGTCTTTGCAGGGATTTCACTATGAACCACATACGAATGTATATAGATGCATTTAGAGTGTAGATTCACTCGTTTTGCTCCGTATGTAGTCCATAGTGAAATCTCTATAAAGACTTATATTTAGAAACGGAGGGAGTATGATTTCATAACTGGAGAAAGTGTGACACAATACGCTCCATCATAAAGACATGGAAATTCATTCCATTATACAATAAGACTACACAAAATCAAGTAGTACTATTTTTTAACAAACTGAAATGGTCGAAATGAAGATGCTAACGATATTATCATTGTTATTTCTATTACTCTAGAGATATGGAGAAAAGGAGGAACTGATGCTAGTACCAGGTGCTGGACAACAGATTGAATAGCTTGCAAGTCAAGCAACGCAAAGGCGTCGCACGCCGGCATTAATTCGATCCTACTTGTCTATTTGAGTTCGATACGGGAGGGATGGATGGATGGACAAGAAATTTTACTTAGCAGTGCTCTTTTGTGTTTATTTCTGGCCGTGTAGGATTACGTATCCAGGAAAGAATCAGAGTACACCGACACTACTGTTTGAGATCGTAGGTGAATGGAGCATAGCATCGGACGCACTGTTCACCGAATGTGCACTTTATGCTCAGCTTTGTGGAGCTGCAAATCTGCCCAGTAGTTAACACCGAGCTGCTAAGAGTTTCTTCTGATAAATGAAAACTTGAATCGAAGTACACCGACAGTACTGTTTTCTTGCAAGACTAAAGCAAGCTGCCGTGCATGATCACCAGAGAGATTGCAACAGTAACACGTACTCCTATTTTTATTTACTCCGGATATTAGCTTTGACTGAAGTAAACTTATAAAGTTTGACCAAGTTTGTTCAGAACAATATAAATATACAAATAACAAATCTACATTATTTGAAAATATATTCAATGAAGAATCTAATGGTATTTATTTGGTGGCATATAGGTTAATATATCTTTGTACAAACTTGACGAAAGGTTATAAAATTTGACTTTAGACAAAGCTAATATGCAGAGTAAATAAGGGATGGGGTAGTATGTATACATTTCAGAAATGTTATCTGGGAACATTAGATTTTTGACGTTCCCTACCGAACTATCCGACAGCCGTTGGATCAAAAACACGAATATTAAAGCACTCTAAGTTGCCACATTAGAAAGTCAAACCCATCCGTTCGGAGCGTGCTGGCGCGAACGCGTCCGTCTCCACTCCCTTCAACACCGGTGCCCCCCACTCATTATCCTCATCCCCCTCGTTGACCCGCACAATGTGCGTGTGTGTGTGTGTGTGCGCGCGCGCGCGCGCGTGTGCGCGTGTGGATGTGTGTGTGTGCGCGCGCGCTACAAATTAATTTAGGTTTTTTAATTGAACTCATATCCGAATTTTGTCGTACTTCCATAAATTATGTTAAAATTTTGGTTGTATTGAGGGCTGAGGTTTACGACCCGTATTGGCTGGCCGGCTCCCTTATCACCGTCGTGCACAAATACCATGTCCGTTCTGGAGACTGGCGTTAGAGATGGCCTAAATCAAAGAATTTACTTAATGATTTGCAGTTTACTCGTCGCACCAAATTTGACTGACAAAGACACAGCACAAATACTATGTCCGTTTTTGAGACTGGCGTTAGAGATGGCCTAAATCAAAAAATTTATTTAATGATTTGCAGTTTACTCGTCACACCAAATTTGCCTGACAAGACAAAGAGCATGTCATACGGTTTGCTGATATTCTTCACTTTGTTCGTGTGTGTTTCAATGTTGGTCCACCACTTGGGCTATGTGTGCCACTTGTGCACCTGTTGAATAAGCCAAACTGTTTGAAGAAAATGATGGTACCAACTCATTTCCGTTATGTATGTAGCTCCATATCTCCTACCGATAAACAGTGTGACAATTTTTCTTCTCTTCTTGGAACAGATATTACCCCCTCATGTCGTTATTCCTGAATTGCTGCCCTGGTATAGTTGAATCAGGCTTGTTCTTGGTCAGAACAAGTGGTGTCAACCTACTCCATTTCCTGTACATGTAGACCCATTCTCATTAATGGGTGGACGCAAATCATGACAATCCATCCATATTTGAAATTTCGAGAGAATGCTAATGTTCATGATCAACAAAGGCGCTAAAGAGCGTTTCTTATTCATTGACCCCATTCCGTGACGAAGCTGCTTC